ACTATCTAGCAAAATGTGAACGTTATCAATCGAAGACGGCTAAACAGTGTAAGGAGATTGTCATCAGACATAAACGATGCTTCAATTGCCTCGCACCTCACCTAGTTAAGAAGTGCACCTCCGTGAAGAGATGCCTAAAATGCGGGAAAAAGCATCATACGACTCTTCACGAGAATCAACGAGAAATTTTAACCACACCAACTAGTACGCCGGCAAAACCGGCCAATCAATCTGAGGAGAAGTCAGATCCATCAGTAACTACTGACTGACAATTAAAGACATGTGCACACCAATCCGAACAGGCAAATCGTACGAGAAAGCTTACTTTACTTGCGACGAGTAGAGCTTTGGTAAGGAAGAGTAACGGGGATTTCCATCCGGTGCGTTTATTGATCGATTAGGGATCAGAGTTATCTTTCATCACGGAAGATCTAGTGCAACGAGCCCAACTCACTAGAACGGCCGCATCAATACCGCTTCTCGGAATTGGTGGCACTTATTCCGGAAATACAAAGGGGAGTGTTTTCATACAACTGCACTCCATTCATGACTCAGCGTTACAATGTCAAATACAAGCCTTCATATTGCCACGTCTTACGGCGAAGTTACCATCGTGCAGCGTTAGTGCTCCAACCTGGCCTCATATATCAGGACTCCAGTTAGCCGATCCGGAATACTACGTCTCTGGAACAATACAGGTCATAATAGGATCAGACAATTTTCATGTCGTGATACGACAAGGCATGATACCAGGCGATTCTTCCTCGCCTACGGCGCAGCAAACCATCTTCGGATGGGTCCTCTGTGGCCCTATGTCAGCAGCCGAGACACCTGTTTCAGCGCGTGCACATCATTGTTCACCGGATCAAGAATTACAAGATCTTCTTTCCAGATTCTGGACACAAGAAAAAATTCCTAAGTCGACTATAGCAGAGTTAACTGAGGAGGAAGAGGAGTGCGAACGACACTTTCTAACAACCTATTCACGAGATGCAACGGGCAGATATGTGGTTCGACTCCCTCTAAAAATCAATCCGTCGGTTTTGGGGGACTCTAAAGCAAAGGCTCTCGGTTGTCTTAAGAACCTGTTTCAACGATTCTCAAATCAAAGTACTTTTCAACAACTTTACGAACACTTTCTAGAGGAGTATTTGAAGATGGGTCACATGAAAGAGGTTGACGCCTCCTCCGCTCAGACTTCTGTGGTGAATTATCTTCCCCATCATGGGGTACTACGAAAGAATAATCGAACCACGAAACTCAGGGTGGTTTTTGACGGATCCAGCCCTACCAGCAATGGCCTCTCGCTAAACGATATTCTACACGCCGGTGCCAAGCTTCAAATTGACATATGCGATATTCTGCTTTGGATACGTACCCATAAGGTTCTATTCTCTACGGATATAGTTAAAATGTTCCGTCAGATAGCTGTGCACCAGGACGATTGGAACCTACAAAGAATATTATGGATCGGATCGGAACAACAGCTTCTCGCCTACTGCCTTACTACAGTGACTTACGGACTACGATGTGCACCCTTCCTGGCGTTGAGAGCTCTAGAGCAATTGGTGAAAGAGGAAGGTCATCGTTTTCCTAATACAATCATTCCTATAAAGAAGGGCAGATTCGTCGACAACATTTATGGGGGATCTGATACGACATTAGAAGCTAAGGATATTATACAGCAAGTGAAGGGGCTTTGCGAAGCAGGAGGATTTCCCTTGCATGAATGGAGTAGCAACTATCCTGATCTTCTCCCTGACCAGAAAGAAGGGGGACCTACCGACATAGAAATCGATCCTACCTTTTGCAAGCTTCTGGGTCTCGTTTGGCGGCCATTTTCTGACACTCTGCATTTTTCTTCCACAGTTCCAAGCAATATCACCTTCACGAAGAGAGCAATTGCCTCGGACATAGCCAAGTTGTATGATCCTCTAGGGCTGATTTCGCCTATTATAATAAGAGCGAAAATCATATTGCAGGAGCTATGGCTGTTGAAGACTGGATGGGACGAGCTGATTCCTGTCACTTTACAAGAGAGATGGACTGCGTTTTGACAACAACTATTACAGCTCGAACCCCTCTCTATACCGAGATGGCTCGGTGTTCTTCGTTGCGATACTTCGAGGATTGAAATTCATGGATTTTCGGACGCATCTCAACTAGCCATGGCGGCGGCGGTGTACATAAGGATTCCGAATGGCGACAATACATTTTCAGTACAACTGGTGTGCTCAAAGACCAAAGTTGCACCTCTTAAGCGGCTCACCATTCCGCGATTTGAGCTTACTGCAGCTCTCCTCCTAGCGCGATTAATAGCAAAAATGGTAAAAGCTCTCGAGTTGTTCGAAGCACTAGTATTCTGTTGGTCAGATTCAGAGGCAACGATTAAGTGGATAACTGCTAACCCATCGCGCTGGAAGGATTTTGTTAGGAATCGCGTGTCCGCCATACAAGAACTTTTGCCCAATGGATCGTGGCGTTTCGTACCGGGCAAACAAAACCCCGCTGATCTTGCAACACGAGGCCTAAAAGCGGATAAACTGTTCCACCTTGACCTTTGGTGGAAAGGACCAACATGGTTATCCGAATCGCAAGCTTCTTGGCCTTACACGGAATACAGATCGACATCAGACATACCTCTATTAAGCTGGACCCCCCACCAGCGCAAATCAAGTTCTTACTAGGTCAAAAATTTAGTGCTATTTAGGTGCTAATTAAGTGCCCTAGTCCGAATTTTGGTGCTCGAACCGTT